CTTCCTCATCTCCTGGAGCTCTTTGTCTCTTTTCTCTTCCATCTCAGTTAGTTTGGTCACTACAAATATTCTGAATTCCTTATCAGACATGTTCCACAATGTCCATTGTATTGACTGTGGGTGATGTAGGCTTGATAATTTCCCTTGAGGGAGAGGCCTTTTGTTGGATGCTCATATTTCTTGATCCTCTGGGATTGTTTCTAGTCATCAGGTAATCTATATGTTGCTTCCTAATTTAGTTAAGGTATCTCTGAGTATTAAAAGTTGTACAGGATTAGAAAATTGATGATTTATCTTATGGTTGGCCTACCTGTTGCTCACAATTACCATTAACTGTTGCCACTAGTCCTAGATGGCCCAAAGCCCTCCCTGTTTCTAAGGAGTGGTGAGCCTCCAACTGATCTAATAAGCAACACCTCAAGAGCAAAGAAAAACAAAACAGAAAAAGATATCATGCAGCGTGCAACACGCACAGTGTGCTATTCAAATCACTAAAATTCAGAGAGTCCAAAGGCAAGTGGGGAAGGGCCAGAGGATGAGTGACAGGTCCGGGGTGGTCAGGCCTGCAGCCTCAGGCCGCCTGGTGTCCAGAACTGCTGGCCGGCTTGATCCGTTTTGCGGGTGGGGTGGGGTACAAGTTCATCTTAAGGTCCCACGCAACCAACCTGAGGTCCAAAGTGGAGTAGGGGTGGGGATGTGCGAAGGTCCAGGATAGTCAGGCCTGCAGCCTGAGGCCACCTGGTGTCCAGAACTGCTCTTTAATTGAATATTGTATAGTAGAGAAAATTAACAGATTGGAACCCTATATATGTACACAGAAGAATTTCAAATAAATGATATCAAGATTTTAAAATAACAAAATGCATAATTATATAATTTACTTAAAGTTTTAAGTATTAACAATGTTATGTATTATTTAATGTATGTAGTTAAAGAATAAAAACATAAATACAAATGATAAATACCAATTTCAGGTAGAGATTTCTTAGGAAAAAGGGATTAGGATTGGGTACATAGGGGACTTTATTTTATTTTTTAATATGATAGATGTTTGTCTTCTGTGTAACTTTTGTGTCTGAAATATTTTTTGTAACAATTTAAAATATAATGAGCACTACTGATTTTAAAATGCTTGATGGCCAGTGAGTTAGGTAAATGGGGCTCAGGAATGCTGAGATGCCCCAAGTTGCAGTGGTCTCCAAGTAAGCCTCTATGTTCTTATCTAGCAGTTACCTCATAAATCCCATGATGCCCTCTCAGGTTGTGCTCTCAAGCCTTAGCATGCATATGGTAAAATTCATATTTTACCTCTATTTCCACTCATGAATTTTACTTAATTGGTCTGAGGTTAGGCCTGAGAGTTGGCTTTTTTTCTTTAAATGGTAAAGTGTGTGAGCTAGAGAGAAAAACATGCAGAGAAAATCAAAATCACCCTTTGAGGTTTGGGTCATGCTGCAGTCCCCTTCTAACAGCCTATTGGGATCTTAGGAACAGGGATGCTTTCTTGGTATATTTCAGGTTCACCAGGTCAGTGCTCTGAACCATGGTATACCCTGTGGCTTCTAGCACTACATTCCAGTATACTAAGGACTATCCCACCAGGCTGGGCCAGGACTTGACATTTTTACCAGGCATATCAATGATTCTGGTGGGAGTGGCCAGAATTTTGAGAACCGCTGCTAAAGGTAAAAATATCAATCCCAAGAACCCATGGTCCTTCAAATCTTTGGCATAGACTCATCACTACTAATGATCCAGAGTTCAGGGACTGAGAATAGGACCCTGAGAGGATCAGTACTATGTTTCATATACTTGCTAGTGATTATTTCTATTTTGTGCTCAATACCATAAAATTCCTCACCATAAATTTGGTAAGGCAAAAAATAATATTAAAATATGTGCGTGTTGGGAGTTGTTGAGAACAAGTCCTTAGTGTTGCTACAAATTATCAGAAACAGAACTAATGATGTACTGTGAATTATAGAAGTCATTCTTTGGCATTCATTGAAAGGGATGCTATTACATCCACTTTCTCCCATTATTAAGATAATAGGTGCTTTTCATATATCAAAAATATAGAAAAATGCAATGGAGATAAAAATTTACCACTAATACCAAAACTGAAATAACTTTTTTTTTTTTTTGAGAGGTTTTTGCTTTAGGGTGTGTGCGCTCACCAGAGAGACAGAGAGAGACAGAGAGACAGAAAGCGAGAAATCACCCCCCCAGGGGGGATGGCCATGCTGTAATCCCTTCTCCTCCATTCTCCTCTCAGGATCTTGGGCACACACGTACACATATCCAGCATGAGTTTAAGCCAAGGGTCTAGGACTCAAACTGTGGTCGACTACATGGGAGTCCAGCGACAGCCGTTTTGCCAACTGCTAGTCCTGAAATAACTTTTTATTAATTGTGAACTGGTTGATATAGCCTGAAATCAGCCAAGGTGTGTGCATTTACCCATGGAAATAGGCAAACATTATAAATCAGGGTGCTCCTATCCCAGATTTAGTTGTTGAACATTTGCTAGCAAATCATTGAGTATGTATATATATGTAAATTTATTGGGTTGTCAGAAACTAGAAACTAGAGTTTAGAAACTAGTTTCAAAACTAGAGTGTACTTCTGACCAAAGAATATTCTGAATTATCCCAGAATTTTGATAAAAATATCTCCTTCTTATATCCTGTGTAGGGGGAACAAGGACCTCAAGGCTTTCCAGGACCAAAGGGTATGATTGGCCATGGCCTCCCAGGCCAAAAGGTAAGTGTTTTAGGATATTAGAGAAATGCTTAGGTTTAACAATCTTAGAAGTTTAATTTTGGAAGAACACTCAAATATGTGTCCTGCTTCTCCTTACAACTTTTAGGGGGGAAATCCATTTGAAATTGAATCTTTATACTTTTTCTTTTTGATCGATAAACATGCTCACTTTATGAGATCTCCTTTTCTTCATTCTCAAAAGTCAGCTAACAAATCCTATAACATACCACATACGAGATACCAGATAATCAAGGTATTGGGTAAATTATTAAGAGTTGAACTTCTTGAAGGCAATGAGCTGATCCAATGGTATTTCAGTCTCTGACATGTCTGGTTCATCATGAATTAGATTATGATACTTGATATAATGTAAATAAATAGCAACCTCCCCCCCCCAATGTTTTTCATGTAGTATGTTTGCTTCAACAAGAATCTCAGATCTTCAAGAGATACCAGTTATTGTATAAATAAACCATATTGTAGTGTTTTTCTTATTTATCTTTAATATTCACATTCTGAACTTATCTTTTCACCATACTATAAAGGGAGAGCATGGAGAACGAGGTGATGTGGGAAAGAAAGGTGATAAAGGAGAAATTGGAGAGCCGGGATCTGTAGGAAAACAGGCAAGTAGGAGTTTTTAAAGACTAACTATGATTTTATACTCTTATCTGTTCCATCCTATATTGACTGTTTCTCTTCTTCCATTAATTAGGGGTTACCAGGACCAAAAGGGGACCAGGGACTTACAGTAAGTATCCACCCCAGAGGGTAATTGTAGGTTTTGTACTTGCAAAAATCATTGCATTCGTGATTTATCTTTAGAAATATAAATTCTTTGGATGCAGAATTCAGTTTCTATTTAAATGATAATAACTGCTACCAGCCCAGTGTTCACATAGATATCTGAGGTAATTGAGTCTGAATATGAGGGGAGAAATATTAACACCAAGTCGCCTGGGGTGGAGGTGTGTGACCAGTCCCTTCTGAACCCTGGTAGAAATTATTACTGGTGACAAGGACGGTGTAAGCTGTCTTTAGACAGAAGTAAAATGACAAAATGACTTTTATTTAATGTGATTCTTCTTATTTTAGATGAGACTTTTTTTCTTCCTCAAATAGTTCCTTTTATGGAAGTATTCTGAGGAGAATAGCAATCACAAAACTGGAGTTGTATGTTGATTCACTTAGTCAAATATTTGTTAAATATCTACAAATGTATTTCTTGATTCTTTGCTACTCTCCATTAAAACCAAAAGGTTGACTCTTTGAATTTTCTTCTTTTTGAAATTTTTTCTTTATTATTATTATTTATATTTTAATTGCTATATATCATTTAAAGAGATTTTACCCAGCATGCTATACACCTCAGTTCCGCCCAGTTGAGAATACTATATACATCCTCATCAACACATTATAAAAGATATCTGTGTCCCACAAATGTCTTACCTCTCTATTTTCCCCCCAAATTTTCTTTCCTGTACTCTTCCACATTTTCCTTCCATTTTGTCTCTATTGTCTATGACAGTTTTTAATGCTTCTATATCCTCCAGACTTTCAGTCTCTACTATAGAGTGCAGACAATCGGTATATGTTAAGTGGAGACATACAACGTCTCTCTTTCATAGCCTGACTTGCTTCACTCAGCAACAAATATTCCATATTCTTCCACTTTCTAGAAAGGAAGTTTTAGGAGAGCAGATGGTAGTCTACTATTGTTTCTTTGTAACAGTCTCATAGAACTCTTAGGCAAAAGAGTTTTGACAAAAAATAAAGATGACATTTGGGTTGGTTCCATGTCTTAGCTATCATGAATAATGCTGCAGTAAGTTCAGTTGTGCAAGTGATTTTCTGCCTGAGCATTCTCCTGTCCTTTGGGTAGATACCCAGGAGTGGAATTGCTGGATCATATGGTAGTTATGTTTATTTTTCTTTTTGGGGGGAGGTTTTCGCTATAGGGCACATGCACTCGCCAGAAAGACAGAGACAAAGAGACAGAAAGTGAGAAATCACTCCTTGGAGGGGGGGTGGCCATGCCGCAATCCCTTCTCTTCCATTCTCCTCTTGGAATCTTGGGCATGCACGCACACACACCCAGTATGAGTTTAAGCCAGTCACCAGGTCTGGGACTTGAACTGCGATCGACTACATGGGAGTTTGGTGACATAGCCATTACGCTAACTGCTGATCCCTGGTAGTTATGTTTGAAGGTCTTTGAGGAACCTCCATATCATTCTCCACAGTGGCTGGACCAATTTACATTCCTACCACCAGTGTAGGAGTGTTCCCCTTTCACAACACCCCCTCTAGCATTTATCATTGTTTGTTTTTATAATCTTCGCCATTCTGACTGGGGTTAGGTGGTATCTCATTGTGGTTTTGCTCTGCATCTCACTTATGGTGAGGGTTGCTGAGCATTTTTTCATATGCTTTTTGGCTGTTTGTATGTCTTTCTTAGAGAGTTGTTTATACAACTTATTTTCTCATCTTTTCATTGGATTAGTCATTTTCTTCTGGGTAAGCTACTTGAATTCCCTGTATATTCTGATTATCAGTCCCTTATCTGAGGCACAGTTAACAAAAATTCTCTCCCATTATAAGGATTGTTGATTCACACTAATTACGGTGTCCTTTGTTGTGCAGAAACTTTTTTTTGTGTGTGTGCAGAAACTTCTTGATCTGGTGTAATCCCACCTGCCTATTTTGGGGAATATTGCCTGTGTTTTGGGGGGTCTTGCTTCAGAAGTCTTTGCCTACCCTAATATCTCTGTTTCCCCAGTGTTTTCTACCAGTAGTTTTATAGTTTGCAGTCCTAGGTTTAGATATTTGATCCACTTTGAGTTGATTTTTGTTAATGGTGACAGATAGGGGTTCAGATTCATCTTTCTGCAGGTGGGTACCCAGTTTTTTCAGCACCATTTGCTAAAGAGGTTTTCATTTTCCTACTGGATTCACTGGTATCCTTTGTCAAAGATGAGTTGGCTCTATGTTTTGCGGTTTATGTCTGGTGTCTCTACTCTGTTCCACTGGTCCTCATGTCTATTTTTTGTGCCAATACCATGTTTTGATTATCACAGCTTTATAAGATACTTTTGGTCCAGGAAGTGAGATGCCATCTACTCCAGTCTTCTTGCACAGGATGGCTTTAGCAAAACGGGGTCTTTTATCATTCCAGACAAATTCTATGACTGTCTTTTCTAGATCTGTGAAGAATGTCTCTTATAATTTTATAGGGGTTGCATTAAACATGTAGATTAAGTTGGGTAGAATTGCCATTTTCATTATATTGATTCTGCCAATCCAGGAACATGGTATGTCCTTCCACTTTTTAGTGCCCTTTTCAATTTCCTTAAGGTCTTCATAGTTGTCCTTGTAGAGGTCTTTGACTTCCTTTGTTAGTTTTATTCCTATATATCGTACACTTCTTGTGATTATGGTAAATGGGATTTCTTTATTCAGTTCTGTATCTGTCTACTTGTTTGTATATAGAAATGCTATAGATTTTTGTAAGTTAATTTTGTATCCTGCCACTTTACTGTATGCATTTATTACTTTGAG